GAAAACTGACTCGTATTCATGTTACACGTGAGGAAAATCACAACCATGCAGCCAGCCTATCGCCTGAGTTGGAACTCAAAGTTAGTTGAACTAACAATATTTAGCAGTCTTAACGACTGGTGGGGCTTATGGCAAACTTAACTTTAGAGAAATCTTTCTGAATGTTTTATAATCCACGTGTGGGCTCGATATACTCTCGACAAAAAAAAAAAAAAAAAAAAAAAAAAAAAAAAAAAGGAAAGAAAGGAGAAGAAATTTGTAAACACTGTAAAAATGAAGTAATAACGCATAAAACTCAAACTATTAACAATTGGCTGATAACTATAAATCAGTCCATAATTACGGGTAAATGTATGTAATTATATAATTAAAAAGAGTACTTCAGAACTTCTCGCGATCTACCAAAGTTACCTCTCGATTCATATTTTCGCAACTACTACTTAAAGAATCATGATGATCAGGTTTTCGATGTACAGTAAAGAAGGCAGACCAAATCACATCGAAATTAGCTGCTTGAAAAAAAAAAAAAAAAGGAGAGGAATAAAAATTTTTAAAACTATATGTATTACGTTTGAACATAATAAATTCTGATTTCTCATTTTGGCTGTTCTGTATTTACCTCTACAAATGTGCAACGTACGTATGTTGTTGATCAAATTGCATATGAGATTTTCTTTTCGCAATAATAAAAATTCAAATATTTATATTATTTCTAATATCCCAAAATTTATATGCTACCCAAATTACATGTTTATGACTTCTTTATAGTTATCATCAGCGCTGAGATAGCCAACAGTACAAAGAAAAAAAATCTGCCAAAACATTATCTCGGCATTGTTAAAACGCGTATTTATGGAATAAGTCTTGGCGTCTAAGATTAGAGGCGTTGGCGATAAGAGACGATATCCATAATAAGCAACCAAGATAAGACGACAACCTTGGCGAGATGGGTACAATTAGGAACATTCGGGGTCCTGCAGGCCTCTCTAATTTTGTTCGGCCTGCCAGCTACCGTTGACGGAAGAACTAACAGACTTCATTGAGGGGGTCTTTGACGGCGCTGGACGTGAACTCTATAAAATGGGTAAAGACGCCTTGTTAATGTTCTTGGTACTCTCGAATCATTTCTTCAAAACATAGGCGCCAGATGCGTTAACACAACCTTTTCTACGGCGCCGTTCTCAGTGTTGGAATTGCGTCATTTGAATCATTAGCTTACGTTCATCTTAGATTTCTGGTTTCTCCACGACTGTTCGTTTAACAATGCAAAGCAAAAGAATTTTATTTTTAAAGTTTAATCTCTTAAAAAACTATTATTGTCTGTCGAAAATTTTGAAATTTGGAAAAAAAAAAAAATTCTTTTTACGTTGTTTATTAAATGTGATTGTTGCTCCTCACATTATTATTACATTTTCTTTCTTATGCACATATGTAACCTAGGTATCCGTAGTTAACTGTATATTAAACGCATTTATATCCGTACCTTTAAACTTTTTAAGTTTATTATGCTGCAAGGTTTGCTTTTGTATAACATCACTGACTTATTTTCTGCTCAAAATCAATTATTCCCTTTGTGTCTCCGTTTCTCCCACTTGTGCAAGCAAGCGATGCTAAGAGTTGCGAAGAGCCTAATCATGTTTGTTTGCTGACCTTGAAATTTTCCGGAGGAAAACCATTATTCCATTTAATGCGTAAAAATATTAAGAACCCACTTTTCTCCTTGTCAGGCAATTTCAGCACAAAAAAGAGAAATTATACTCTAATACTTACGAAGATTGCATTAAGTTTGTTTCTTTGCATGAATAAAGCGCTCGAGGGCTAACTGAAGAGAAGGAACAATTCGTAGAGGATTTTTTAAGGGACACTGGCTCCCATGAATTAAGTACTGATAAGAAATTATATGACAGACAATGCAAGCTCAACTCTTTTGGATTTCATATCACAGAAGAGAAAACACGAATTCAATTATATGAAATCTAAAGGAATAAATAAAAGCGATTTTTATTTATGGATTAGTGGATTATTCAGTTATGGTAAAGCACACGAGGGCTATCTGCCTAAAGGGAAGGGATGCCTTCGTGGAGGACTTTTCTAAGGGAAATTGGCTCGTATACACGTTACACATGGGGAAAACCACGAAAACGCCCATGCAGCCAGCCCGTTCGCGGGATTCGAACCTCAGACTGAACTAACAGTGTTCAGCGTCTTTACCACTCGGCCGCTGGTGGTCCGATTTTTATTTATGTATGTTACCGTGAAAGACCGAAATTGGAGAATGTCGACTTTCACCGGAGAATATCAACGTTCACCAAATACGTCGGTGAAAGTCCGAATATTTCACTACATTCTTGTATATTCGGACCCTCACCGGTGTATGTCGACAGTCACAGATATGCTCTGGTGAAAGTCGAAAAGAGAGGTCATAAAGTGCCATAATAGTTTAAGTTGTTGCAATAAATAAGATTTGAATCACATAATTTAGTAAGTTTTTTATTAGTGTTATTTTATTTTCTCATTTAGAACGTACTGTATAATTAAGTAAGTTTTTAACTTCTATTATTTCCCTTTCTCATTTTGAATGTATTGTGTGTTTTAGGTTCCCATGTTCTTAAGTTCTTATTTCAAGTCTCAAGTGCGTTTATTCGCGATTGAATTACGGAGAAGAAAATATAATATTGTTATATGTTCAACATTCACCATTAGTACATGGTGAATGTCGACATTGACCGGTGTTAAGTCAGAAATAAGAGTATTTGGAAAATATTTCGGGCATACACCAAGAGACTATGTGAATGTTGACATTCACCGGTGAAAGTCGACATTCTCCAGATTTCGGTGTTTCACCGTAACATGTGTTAGGAATCTAAAAATTGATTTCTGAATAATAAGTATGTTGAAACTTAGAGGAATTAGCTAGGACAAGTGTAAAATATTAATACATGAAAGTAATCCATAACAAGCTAGTTAGATTTACAGAACATATGCAGAAATGTTTGGGCCAAAATTACCATTCATCATCAGTTCTCCTGCTTTACGAAAGTAGAACATTCCTGTGAAGCTTCTTATAAGCCCAACGCAGTAAATTGGAGATTTAATTACCTTACCAATAACTTCTACATCATATTCTACCGATTTAGATTTAAATTTAAGGGCGAGGCGCTCAAACTGAAGTTTAGCTGTTTGAATCAATGCTTTCGTGCGCAGTTTCCCGATAGGAATGAAATGACCTGTAGAGTTTTATAGGATGCTACCAAATCATGAATCAAAGTCTGTCACAGTGATTTCGCGACAGGATAGTAAGGTTATCGGTTGCTATCAGAAATGTTGCTTGAGTTATGTTAGGGCGTACAAACTTCTTTTCCCATATTATGGTATGGTTAAGCAACGATGCTTGTCTCAAGGTCGCAGTTTAACTTCAGCTAAAGTGCCGTTACATTTATCAATGAAATTACTTCTTCCTCTTTAAAGCTTTCCTAAAGATACTCAAGTGGACAGTGAATGCAGTGGCATTGTCGCTTTGAGAAATATCTTCGAAAGATTAATTAGTTTGATAGCTTCGCGGTTACTCAGCCAAGTTTAGTAAGACTCCGCATAAAACTTGCTGGAGTTTGAAGCAGTGTTATATGTTTCTAAGAATTGATGAATCAAAAAAGTCGAATGTCAGACAAACGCCAATTTCATTGCGAGTTTTTTTTTACTAAGTTTTCTGATACAGGATTATAAAAAATGGTGGCTGTATGTTCTGTTTCCTTGAATGTTAGTGATAGATATGCACTTCTAATTACATTTTTAAAGTGAGGTACAGGCCTACCAGTGGCCGAGTGGTAAAAGCCGCTGAACACTTGGTAGTTCGATCCATGGTTCGAGTCTCGGCGAACGGGCTGACTACATGGGCGTTTGTTTTCGCATTTTTCCCCATGTGTAACGTGGACACGAGCCACTTTCTCTTAAAAATACCTCCACAAGGCATCCCTCTCTTTCCTTGTAATGCCGAAGGGCAGAGCATGTAATAAATTTTTAAAAAAAGATCAGAGAATTTTGTACGGTCCCTTAAAAATAAAAATTTTAGTTTTATAAACTTTCTCATCAAGTTAAAAATAAAAAGTTTCTTACACTTACGAACAAAATTCTTGGGGTATTCGAGAACGAATTTACTGGCTTAAAACACATTTCGATCCATGTTTCGGACTGAAATTAAATATTCTCTAAAATTTCTTTAATATTTGAGCAAAATTGAGGAAGCAATTAGCAAAAAAAAGTTGCTCGTTTTGGCGTTTATTACTTTTCCCAATAGGTAAAACAGCATAAATTATTAAATGCTTAACTGATTCCGAGATAATATTAATTACTGTATGTCCGCAAGCTTTGTACGTAAAGATACGAAAGGCTTTTCAGTTAGCCTATTAAGCGTAAAAAAAATTATTTTACTTATTAGACACTTTGCTGTAGGTGTCTGATATAAAAAATGAGATTCTGCATTTACGAAACCTTCCCACTCTCGTTATTGGAAGTGTTTTCATAAAGTTCTGTACTTCATTATAAAAAGCTTTTTAACTGAGAGTGTGTGTGTGTCTAGAATCAATATTAGTATAGATATGTACATATGTCAAGAATAATATTGGTATAATGCAATATTGTCTACACATATACTAATATTGTATAGCATAACATATAATATTATCTATCTAAAAAAAATACTGCCTTCATTAAGCACATTTTAACTGTGAAATGATTTAAAAATCCTTTATATTGAAAAGCATCTGAGCGAAAGCTAATTTAGCTTTAAAAACTATTGTATTTTTGTGCAATAGTACAACTACATTTAAAGAATTAATTTGGGAAGAATCGACGATTTTCCAGGTTTGTAAGAGAAAAATTTTCATTGCAGTTAATAATCAGTAATCTGTTATCGTATGCTTTAATAAAAATACTTCAATGCATTCTAGTCGAGTATCGTACTTCAAGTATAGTATAATAATCGTATGTCTTTCCACTTTTAGGCCGAATGTCCTCCGATTCAAATGGAACCCGTGGACCTGTCGGTGAACAAGAAGTCCAGCAACCCCAGTTCTCCATCTATGTCTCCCAGATTACTCAGGCTTTCATTTCCATCCCCGGCCAGTTCTCCTCCATCTACTTCTTGCATTGATCTCAGGCTCCACGGTTCCAGACATCTCTTACCATCAGGTCCTGGAGACGGTAAGTTTTGGTTTTTCTTACGATCTTGTAATAAATATCATTAATAAAATAATAAGAGTAGAGGACAACGCATTCATTTCACGGCACTTCAGCGTGAAGAATATTTTATCAGGAAGACAAACACCAGTGTGGCATTTTATGCATAGTGTATTCATAAGCTCTAATCGTCTATTGGTTTATTCATAGTTGGCAAAATAAATCACTGCACACGAAATTTATGAAACCTCTCCTCTTCTTTCTTTGGCCTCATAATCTATGCTTGAACTACATGCTCAATTCCTATCTTTTTTTAAGGCTACGCACGTAATGGTAAGTAAAACAAATAGCTTGTAAACTTGATTTAGGAGTATGAAGAAAAAGAATTAAATTATAATAATACTTTAAAGTGTCGTAAATTAAGCTGCAAGTCCAATGAAAAAGAATTGTTGATCAACATGAACTGACTTTTAATAGCAATTATTTTGCAAAATTTAATAATCTTTTATAAATTTCTGATACTTATTTGAATTATTTAATAATTTATTTTACATTTAGAGACTTCTTCAAAAATTTATATATTCGTTGATTTATAAACATTAGGAACAGAAGGCAAGGTATTCATTCAAGAAATACTTTTGTAGAATAGAAGGTTAGACTAATGTTTGTATTAAACCAAATTAAGTTTTATCTGACAAACAAAGGAAAGTGCATTTATTTGTCATACTTATTAGATTGAATTTTCTGCTTTTCTGATCCATACGTTTTTAATATGTTCCTACATTATAATTACGTTAGTTTTTCTTTTAAAATTTTTGAATTGTGGGCTGGATTTAATGCCATAAATAACACAAAATATTTTATTTAGTCTATAAAGTTTTCAATCCAATATATTCAGGTCTTAAGGAGTGGGAATAAAGCCTTTGCCAACGATATTGTTTGACTAGCGATAACGTTGACGAAAACGAATCCTATCTTAACATATAAATCAAATAATGTAATAATAGTTTTAAATACATTATAATGTAAATATGTCGTATATGTATATAAATCTAATTGTACTATAGGTATCATACATTTGAATCACACTTTGTATTTAAATTATTATAAGTATACACTGACTACCAATAAGTATTTGGACACCTATGCAAATGACGATGTCTGCGGCCCTAAGGTACGTCACGGACTCCGCCGGTATATATCATGTAGGAAACAGCATCGGCTTTAGTCGCATGCAAGATGCCTCGCAGTTCGGAGCTCTCTGATTTCGAGAAAGGTATAATTATCGGGTATCACAAATGTGGTCGATCCTTAAGGGAGATATCTAGCGATCTGAAGTACCCAAAATCGACAGTGGCCTATGTGATTAAGAAGTGGAAGGTGATCGGTGATTGTCGGAATGTGCCCCGAGTCGGCAGACCAACGAAACTGAGAGATAGAGACCGACGAGTGCTGTCCAGAGAAATTCGGAAGAACCGCACCCAACCGATGGCCCTCATCCGCGAGGAGTTTCAACAGGCATCCGGGAGTATTGTTTCAATGAATACCATCCATAAGGAAGCACATCTGCTTGGTTTTCATGATCGTGCTGCTGCCCATAAGCCTTTGATCACAAAGTCCATTCGCGCTGCTCGGTTAAAATAAAAGGGGAAAGCTGCTCTGAATAAAGTTGGTTTTACGCAATAACTAAGCTAAAGTCTTAACAGAAGAATTCAGAGTTGCTTTCTGGACACCAAGCTAAGACTTACTTCTTAAGAAAATAAACTATTTTTTTCCTCTTGATCTTTGTGATATTCAAAATTTTACGTCATTGAAGGTCAGCACCTTTCAATAATTTCCTGTAAAGTTATCAGTATTAAGTAAAGACTTTTTACACCCCACAAATCCTTTTTACAGTCAATAAAAAGCTGCCAACATCTCATTTCCGTTTACTTTTGTCATTCGTAACCTTCCTCCGCGATCAGACAGAGTGGGAGAAAAATTAGTTGTCTTCTCGGCAGTTAAAATCTTATTCAGCTGCTGCTGTCCCCTATACAAAGTTCTAAAGCCACCAGCAATCAATTTCACACCTCTGCTGAATGAGATACAACAGGGAAACAGAAAAAGAACTTCTAATCACTATATAACATCATAATCTCAACAATGCTTTTAGTGTAAACTATAAAAAATAAGGGAAAGTTGTAGCTCATACAAACCACCTTCAAATATCGTTTTGTTATTTTCTTTCGAGGGAAGAATTAGTTCATTTGAAGTTGTTCCAGTTGCAATGATTAACACCTTAGGGCATCGCAACTTCTTATCATGCTGGTCCTTTGTCGGATCATTTGTAATGGTTGTTTGAATGAGTAGCAGTCAGATGTTAGTTTGACTTTTTGATTTGGTTGTTTTTCTGGTTCCTGTTTGACAAGAACGTTTCTTTTGTGGTTTATTTAGCTGAGGGGATTTTCAGCAGCTACTTTTAATGCTGCTGAAAGTGACAAATAGTTACTTGGTAAAAAGCAGTCTTCCAAATCCTTAAGCTCTTTAAGGGATGGTATGCAGTTTCAGTAGGAATCTACTTAGCTCAGTATTTCTTGTCATCTTTCTTGAAATAATAACTAATCAGTTATTTTCGGACATGAGTTTCGGAGTTTCAATTCCATTGCTAATTTATTTTAATTAATTTAAAACATTCAGCCTTAATTTATCTAATAATATATTTTAAGTACCTCTATCTAAGGAAAATTATTACTTTACAATTTTTCTTTGATGTTAAATAGAATAGGATTTCTTTAATTTCTATTCCAAATATAATTAAAAATATATATATAATATTTAAAATTTAAATATCTACGTGCATATTAGAACAATGTTTTCTTAAAACGAAAAGCATACTTCAGATGCTGATTCGTTTTCAAGTAGCTAATTAATGTGCGATAACCGAAAATTCATTTGAAATTATAACTATCTGTTTTCATTTGCCTTCATTTCCTTATAAATAAAGATTCTTTGCAGGCATTGTTTCATTATGTAATTTTTGGAGGTTACAGCATTTTGAACAAATTCTTACATTTCGTGTTGGAATTTTCCACTTGAATTTTAATACTTTGTGCTTAATTTTTACTGATAACGCCGGGATTTCAGTACAGAATTTAATTTCTTTAACTGAACGCTTATATTATGATTTTAACTTCAAGATATAAAAATTTGTTGCTTCAAATGGAGTAGTTTTATCCAAGTACCTACATAAATTCAAATTAGACTTATACTGACCCGTTTTTAAATGTGATCATTCCTTGTTTCCGCTCAGCACGTGAAGAGCATTAAATATTGCCAGTAAGATAGTTTGTCTTCGTTCTGATTTGACAAGACCACCACGAAATAACTGATGTGACATAAAAATTATCAGAACCTGCTTAATTGCTACTAGGAATGACGATGCGTAGGAAATAATTACTAACTTTGGCACCGAACTCATATCTTTACAAAATAAAATCTGCTTCAGGGAGTTGGAACTGTAAATATTTCACAATTTTCTCAAAGACACGAGTAAATTAATTAGTACTTTTTCCGTGTTTATGTTGTAAGGTACTGAAAAAAAAAAATTCTTAACTGCATTATAAATTCATTTGTACTCAGTTACTTTCAAAACACAACTATCTAAAAAGATTTCTGGAACCACATTATGCATGCCACGGATGCTAATTTTGCATTTTAATTCAGTCTGATGCAGTAGAACTTAAAAACTTGCTAACTGTGGGTCACGAACGGACAGTGCTAACTTCATGATCTTATATCTACTGTGCTTTTTTTTATTTTGATGATTGTGAAAATAGCAATTATCATTTCCAAAATGTATTAGTGTTATATATGTAAAATATTAAAAAAAATACGATGGCTTTGCTCCCTGCGAACCAGCAACCTTTAATTAACTTTCTGCAATTCAGGATCTTCCATCTAGAGCAGTACCTTCTAGAATATGCTAGCCTATTACGTAACCGCTACTATAAATACTTGCCATTTTTTAGTCAGACTGCTTCCTAATATCGCTGTTACAAGACTCTGCGCTGCTCTGTCCGTCTTTCTTTCACTTGTTAGAATTAATTACGACGCAGAAAGTTTAAATTCAATCGTACTTAGTTTAAATCACTATTGAATATGTAATTTGGAGAATTTCATATGAAGTAAAGCATGATCTACGGTGAAAAATTGAATTAAAGCTATGGAATAAAGATGTGCGCTTAAAAGCTTTAAAAGCATATTGTCTCGTCATTTGGATTTCGCCATACCACTCTGCAAAGGCAATGTCTGAATCGTCTAATACCAAGCTTCCTCACGACTGCTGGAAAATATAACATATATATATATATATATTAAATGTAGGAAGCTGAAGTTTAAATAGCAGCTTTTCGCTGTTAGATTTTTTCTTCTTACCAACGCTTGATGAAAAAATTATACATCAGCGTTAAAAAATTAATAGGCATTCAGTGTCATCATTCATTACATTTTACTTTGTGATTTGTAAACCTATACGTTGGCAAGTGGAAATAATTTCCGTGTCATAATCAGCTCATTGATTATCATGACAGTATGACATCAGAGTAGTAAAGTCTTATCCCAGAAAAGACGTATTGCTTAGTAAGTTATAAGAGTTAGGCACGAGAAAATTTCTTCAAAAACACTGTTATCTGAAGCTAAAAGCGAAGGCAAAACGAAGCTTTTATATGTCTATAAATAGGAGCACAAGTATCCTTTTATAGCATCAACATTAATCGCTTGGCCATCAGGATGTCAACTGTTCTTAACATCACACATACTTTAACAAAAGGCTGGAATTTTCATTTTTGCCGTCTGTCCCTTTTTGTTGTTTAAAGAAAATTCTTCGAATTCACTCATCCGTGATCCGAATACGCCTGTTCCTCAGGGCTGGATTTTGTGAAGTTTTTCTTGCACATTTTCCCTCCAGAACGTTTTATAGCACAAGAAGCGTAAGTCCAGTGGTAGTAGCCTGCCTTACACTCGCAGAACACATAAGAAGCTAATAT